CTAGAAAGCAGGACACACCCTTTTTCTAGTGCCTCTGGTCTTAAACCTCTGCCACAGCGCCCAACCTCCAGCCACTAGGATTGCCTGGGGGAAGAGCTTGCTGCTGCCAGCTGTGCTGAAGCCTTAGTTTATACCAAGCATTTCACAAGAGGACGGAGCGGAATTTCTGTGTCCGAGCCCTCCTCTGCTACATTCCAGTATTATCGACGGACAGAGCATCTGTGGCTTAAGTAACTATTTCTCTTTGATGCAACCCCCCAATACCACCCCCCTGAATTTCTGCCCAGAGTGCCATTTGCCCTCCGTGAAGAAAAGGCAAGCGCCTGCTCTAGACTGGCGTGATGGGCAGGTCCCGTCTTGCAGCCCCCAACACCTGAAGCCATGCGCTGGAATTAAGACAAGTCAGTGTTCTGTTCCAACCTAGTTACTCAACTCAAGGTGCAGAGTGAGCTCCCTCCTCCTCCTCCTCGGATGAGACCCACCGCAGCTGGGAAGCTGAGAAATCTGGTGTCCTGATGACTAAAAATGGTAGAGGGGAGCTAAAACCTCACTTTTTCTCTGCCAGCTACCCCAGCCCTGACACAATCAGACTCAAAACTTCTGATTTTCATTGATTTTGCCTCCCTTTTGAAGGTTTGTGAAGAGGCTGGGCATGTTCTGGGAAATATTTTAAACTAGCAGAAACATCTCAAAAGATTATGCTAAAATGCCTAAGAGGCAGGAATGGGTCCTCCCTCGGGATGGCTGCACATAAATCATCTTATATGATAACCTTCCCCAGGACAGAAATCAGATGCCCATTTCATGGGTGAAGAGAAGGGAAAAGCAGAGAATTACCCATAGCACAAAACAATCACTGAGCGGAGCCAGGATCCCACACAGGTCTGTCTGGCTCCACTCTGGTGACTACTGGTAATGCGAGGGGAGCGCTTGCCTTGCACCGGTGAGCCTGCTACAAACTGCGTTTATCTCATTTCCTCTTTGTACTCACGTCTCGGCCCGGTGGGTGCTTCTACTGAGTCCATTTTCCAGAGGAGAAAATCATAGTTCGGAGAGGTTAGGAGGTGATATGTCCAAGATCACCCGGCTGTCGAGTAGCAGAAGAAATACGACTCCCAAGCCCGCCTGAAACTCCAAGCCTGCAAACTGAGTTGTTTTGTGTCATCCAGATTCCTGTGCTCTCTCCACCTTGTCTGCCAACGTCCCCCTTGCTCCACCGGCTCAGGCACACTGATGGCTTTCAATTCTGACAGCAAATCAAGCTCCTCCCCTCCTCTGAGCCTTCCCTGGCCCCCTTCCCTCCAACAGAAAAGCTCCGCCCCTAACAACCCTCTCGCCTCTTCCTCTGATTCTGGGTTTCAAAGTCGCTGCCTCCATGCAGCCTTCCCTGACTGTCTACCCAAAACAGCCCCTCCATTTTTCTCTTAAACCCTTGTTTTTCCCATCACGGGAACTCATGACAACTTAAATTCTTAGTTTCCCCCCTTTACTTGCATTTTATCTGTGTTTCTCACGAGAATGTAGAGTTCATGAGGTCAGAGATTTGTTCTATTTTTTGAGACAGGATCTCCCTATGTAGTTCAGGCTGGCCTTGAACTCATGGTGATCCTCCTGCCTCAGCCTCCCAAGTGCTAGAATTGTAGGCATGCGCCTTCATGCCTGGCCAGTTTGTCTGTCTTGTTCACTGACATAACCCCAGTACTCAGAACATGCTAGGGTTTAGCAAGCATTCAGTAAACATTTGCTGGATCATAATCATTAGAATTAGCACTCTGCCTGTAGAAGACAGCAGATAGTTTCAACCTCCAGTTCTGTGTTGAAAACAAACAAACAAACAGAAAAGCTACAGTCCCTCCAGGTCTGCCCCTGAGAGGTAAGTTAGCTAAGCAAGCACAGCCTCAGCGTCCCCACAGGGATGTGCACACAAATAACCCCAGCCAGAGGCTGGGGTCCAGCTGCTCTCCGTGGAGCTGGGTTTGGGGGAGGACACGGAAAGTGGGGCTCTGCTCTCCAGAATCTGCTGCCTGCTGAGGCCCAGCCGGATGCCCATGTCCATTCGACAGTTCGGTCTTTCCTGTCTACCCCATTTACCCTGAGGAGACTCACGTTTTGAGTGGCGGAGTGATTTGCCAAGAGCCACGCGGCTCAGTGGGACAGTCACCGCTTGGCGGTCCTCAGTGGCTCCTCATTACCTTGGAAACAAGCTCCAACCTCTTCAGCAGGGAAAGGCGCCTCCTCTTAGTTCACTGCATCCAAAGCTCTGAGGGACTTTGTACTCTCTCGTGCAGAGCTGGGACAATTCCTGGAATAGCTGCTTCACTCACTATTCCACGCCTGACATCTCCCTTCTATCTGCCTCGCAGGTGGGTTTTTCCTACCGGTCCTTTAAGATCCCCATAAACAAAACAGATGTCCCCTAGTAGAACCTACACTAACAAAACACATACTTGGGCAAAGACTGCTGTGACTCCTCACCACTGCACTGAATTTGACGGGCAGTGTCTGTAACGGGGGAAACAGGATACCGAGCTGGGCTGCACAGGCTTCTGTGTGGTGCGGGGCACAGCCCAATGATACACACAGAGAATAAAGAAACCGCATTTGCCAACCTGCAAGCACCTTGGCTAGGCGTATCTAAGAAAGAGAGAGATCAGGAGAGAAAATAGTGCTACTTAAAAAGTGACACTATGTTATTATTATCGGCACGATAGCATAATTAGTATACACGCATGCTAATCCTTTCAAATATGCTGCCAAAAATACGGGCCCTCAAAAGAACGCCGCTCCATCTATTAGAGTTTTTTGCTGTAGCAAACTCACCCCCACATTCTACCTCAGTGAGGCCATTCTTGGTCAGCAAACAGGTTTCCAGGGGGTGATTCAAGAACCCAGGTTTTCTACCTATGGCTCTTCCATCCATAGAGACTTGGGGTCCTGATAGATGGAGAGAAAGAAAAGGAAAAACCATCTCACTGCTTAGACCTGCAAGCGACTTCCATCACTTCCAGTCCCACACGTAAATAATCCCAGCGAGGTGCTGAAGGTGCTAGGGACACAAGTCCTAGCTGAACAGCCACTTCCCAGAAACATTAGCCATGGCAGGAGGAGCAGCACACATTCCTGGTGAGTAACCCACCTTCTGCGCTGTAGACACAAACCAAAGCCACCGGGAAGCACAGCGAAATGAGATGTTGTTGCTGTGCCTCACGGAGAAGCGTGAAATCCTCAGTAGTGCCTCCCTAGTGGAACAATTTCTCCTGCCCCCATGTGGAAGGTACTCAGGCCTTGTGCAGAACTTGCATGCTGCTTCCTATTCTTTCCAGGGAGCACACTGGATCAGGCTCCGGTCCAGGCTGTCCTCCTGGTACCTTCCCCCTTCCCCACCTGCTGTGACTCCACCCTCGCTGGACAGCTCTGCCTGACACTGCTCCCTGCTCTGATGGGTGTCTCCAGGGAGCAGAGCTGACTTCGATTTATGCACATGGTTGGCAAGGCATAACTATTTCCTAGTGAAAGAAATGCCAGCAACCACTTTCCTAGAGGGAGATTATAGGCATGGCAGGTGCTCAGAGACTTATGGACCTATAGACAGTCTTTAAGAAACCATATAAGGGGCCGGGGAGTTGGCTCAGTGGTTCCACTGCCTGCCTCACAAGAAACCACATAGGGGTGAGAAATGTAGCTGCAGGGCGCTTGCCTAGCATACTAGAAACCCTATGTTTCATCCCCAGCACCACACACCCACCCACACACACACACACACACACACACACACACACACACAAGACCAGGTAGAGGACCCATCCTGTTGGCATTTGTACCCACAGTACTTCAAAAACCCACTTCCTTGTAGAGCTGCACCTAGAGTCATGCTGACAGACTGGAGAAGAAAGACTAGGTACTGGAGTGAAAAAGAAAAACGAGCTAACCACACTGGTGCTCACCTGTGATCCCAGGTACTCAGGAGGATGAGGCAGGAAGATCACAAGTTTGAGGCCAGTGTGGCCAACTTAGGGAGACCATCCTAAAATAAAAAATAAAAAGGGTTGAGGGTGTAGCTCAATAGTAGAGTGCCCATGGGTTGGACCCCAGTCTGGGGGGGATGAGTGATTGAGGACTTACGCTCTTGTCAAATACTTAATGACACAGAAAAGAGTAAAGGTATAGAATTATGGAACAAAAAACAAAAACATAGAATCAGTGTGATCACAATTATATAAGTACATATTACATATGATTTGATGACCAGGAAAATACACAAAATGTTTACTTTGGAACATGTATTTGTTAATACGTTTCCTTTTTAAAGTTGCTGCATTTTCCAAGGTTTTTATAAGAATGTAATCTGCTTACAGATCAAAAACTCCCGATAAGTGTTATTATTTTTTAAATTTGTATCAAACGTTGCCTGTACCAAGAAGCATTCTGTGAACACTCCGGGGGCTTGGAATCCCTCCTCACCATTTGGTAGTGTCCTCAGCCACTGTCAACACCCTGGATTTTATTTATTTATTTATTTATTTATTTATTTTTATTTATTTATTTTTGGTACCGGGGATCAAACTCGGGTCCTTGCACTTGCGAGGCAGGCCACCGCAGGCCACCGAACCGCTGAGCTAAATCCCCGGCCCCACCCTGGATTTTAATGGTGGCTTGTCTATCTCCCAAAGGATCTGGAATTCTTGGAGGGAAGACACAGATGCATCTCTGAATCCCCAGGGTTCAGCACATGCAGGCGACGCTAAAGATTCACAGACCAACGGGAGACCCCAGGAACTTCTCCCAGCTCCAGGAGAGACTGGCAGAGGGGCCATTCGGAAAGCATCGTGGTGAGCTGGTTTGCATGTAGCCCGCGCTGCCTTTCTGAGACGTAGTGTGTACTTTTATTTTTGCTTTTACCCGCTCTTTCCCTTTGTTCAGCCCGCGTTAGCTCTGCAGAGCTGGTTTCTCCCATGCCCATTCACCCCCACACTTTTCAAATAAACAACCCTTTTGGCAGCGTTCTTGGCTCGTCTCGTCCAATTCTTCGTTCAAGGCAAGAAGGAGCTGGACCCCTTCTGATCGGCGAGCCATTTCCAAAGGAGCTAGCCAGTAAGTTTATCCCGAACTAGGTTGCATCTCCCGAGCGAAGGGACCCCGAAGGTCCTGGCTGGGGACCACCCTGGTGTCCGGAAGAACTCGGGAAGCCTTCGAGGACCCACCCTCCTGACGGTCAGCGCCGGGGTTGCGGGTCCTACGGGAAGTGGGCGTTGAAATCCCAACTGGGCCCCAGCCAAGCAGGTCACGCGGCGGCCCTGGGAGGATTCCCCGACCCGCTCCCCCGCCCGGGAGCTCCAGAGAACCCCGGCCCTGGGACTGGCTCCGATCCACCGACAGCTGCTAGGCGTTTGCCTCTCGCCCTAACCACGGTTTCAGCGAGGGAGGCGGTGTTTAAAATCCTCCGCTGGGAAACGCTTGTGTTTTTTGGGTTTGGTTTGGTTTGGTTTCCGAAATCTGCTCCAGAAATTTCTCCCAAAGGGCTTTCAGGCCCAAGCAGACCCCCGCAGACCAAGAAGAGGGAGACTCGGACACTTTGGGCGTTCACATCTTCGAGCCCACCTGGAACCGAGCCACACGCAGGAAGGCAAATCCCCGCCGCCGCA